TGTTTCTCTCTCTGTTCCCATCTCTCCAACTCTTGTTGATTTCATCTTCTAGGAAGGATTGTCCACATGGCGGGCAAGCTGGTCCCCAGGACTATAGACTCACATCCTCCCATTTTAGCAACTCTCCCAAAAAGAGGAACTTTTCTTTCCTACAGGAATACATGGCTTCATGCCTAGAGAAGGCTCTGATTGGCTCTGCTTGGGTCATGTGCTCACCCTGAGGCAGCTGTCATGGCTGGGGTGAACAGCTCACCTGGGGTATGTGCACATCATGGTGCACATCATGGCACATGGCTGCACCGAACCACATCAAATAAGGAATGAGTCTGTAAAGAAAGTAGGTCAATTAGATGAGCAGACCAAATTGCATCTGCATCCATTGTATACAGCCACTGTTTACATGGTCAATTCTGACACTCCAGGGGCTTTATGTATAATGTTCATCATTTTCACAATATTTAAAGAGATTCACCCCCTATTACAGATGAGGCTTGAACAGTTTAAATAATATAGCCAAGGATGGAAAAGTGGTCAACGGAGGACCTGACTTCTGACACTAGATCTGTCTCTTCCTCTCAAAATATCCTGTGGCCTTTTACATGTGAAAGGGAGTGAGGATAACCTCTCAGGGGGCCCTTCTTGGACATACATCACACATGGGCTGCCCTGAAATAATGCTTCTAGAAGGACAAATCCCCTTTTGGTTCTTCCTGTAGATTCTCCTGGATTTTCCATCTCTAAGAGACAAAGCTTGCTGTCCTAGGAGGGAGGTAGGAAGCTGACCCATTCCAGTCATTGGAGAAGGCTAAGTGTGGACTGAACTCCATTTAGGAACTACACTGTGCCCTGTGCCTTTGGGTAAACCTACCCTGTCTTCTCTGAGTCCCCATCGTTATATAATGATGACACAAAGTCTTACTGCTATGGAACACAGGATTCTTCAGATAGTCACAAGAATATAAATAAAAAACTTGCTTTGTAGGATGGAATGATGATGATCATGATCATGAAAGCTTCTTAATCAATTCTTGAAGAACATAAGGAAAACACGAAGGCGGTGTTATTTTCTCTCCAAGGGAAAGGAGGACTGCCCTTTGCGTCTGAGTTCTTCGTGATTTGGAAAATCAGTCCCCAAGACCTCACAGTTCGGACGGGCACAGAGCACACACGATCTGCTTTTGTGCTTACTCTTTCTGCTCTGCCATATTGTGGTTTCCCAATCAGCACCCCAGGAGACAACTTCCTCATTTCAATTTGCATTTTTAATACCATTTCTTTTTGATCACCAAAATAGTATTTGCACAAAATTTGGAAAATAAAAAAGGAATGAAAAAAGCCTCACCCCAAATTGCTCTACCCAGAGATACCAACCACATTGGGATAGCAGCTGGCACTATACTCATATACAATTCAATATCCTGCATTATTCTCTTAACAACACATTAGCGGCATTTCCCCATCACAAAAAACTTCATAAGCATTGTTTTGGCAAACATTTCATGCATTGCTATACTATAGTTTAGTTAATTGCACGTGGTAATAGCCCTTTGTGCAGAGGTCTGAGAATAGACTGGACAGCTGGGCCCTTGGGGTTTTCTGTGCAGAACTAGAGGGACACAGGGGTGGGGACCTGGCCCTGAAGGGGCAGAAGGAAAGGCAGCCCCAGAATACATTGCATATTTGCTTGTCTGTTCATTTTTTCCTGCCTCGATATTAAGAGACAGACATCTGGGATCCCTGGGTGGCGCAGCGGTTTGGCGCCTGCCTTTGGCCCAGGGCGCGATTCTGGAGACCCCGGATCGAATCCCACGTCGGGCTCCCTCTGCCTATGTCTCTGCCTCTTTCTCTCTCTCTGTGTGACTATCATAAAATAAATAAAAATTAAAAAAAAAGAGACAGACATCTGTGTGATTAAAGCTTTGCTAAAATTTTAAATTATTTCCTAGACTTGAAATTCTAGGATTGAAGAATATAGGCATTTCGATGAGTCTTAATACATATCGCAAGACTGCTTTCCAGAAATTCTATTCCCTGTTATACTCGCAGAAGCAAAGCATGGGTCTGTCTCTGATTTTAAGTAACATAATTAAAAAAAAATCACTACTTTGAAAAAAGTAGAGGCAGGAAAGTTATGTTTCATTGATTTAATGAATGCTTTTTAAATTTTCTGGTAAGACTGAACTTTTAAAGTTTTTATTTATTTATTTATTTATTCATTTTTGAGTAATCTCTATACCCAATGTGGGGCTCGACCTCATGACCCTGAGATCAAGAGTCACATGCTCCTCTAATTGAGCCAGCCAGGCACCCCAAGATTGAACTTTTATTTTTTTTAAAGATTTTATTTGTTTATTTGAGAGAGAGAGAAAGACCCTGAGCATGTGCAAGCAGGGGGAGGGGCAAAGTGAGAGGGAGAAGCAGGCTCCCTGCTGAACAGGTAGCCTGATACTGGGCTGGATCCCAGTACCCCAGTATCATGATCTGAGCTGAAGGCAGATGCCCAACTGACTGAGCTACCCAGGTGCCCCAAGGCTGAATCTCCACTTTTGTGAATTATCCATTTGTGCCATGTGCCTAGTTATATTGGGATCTTTTAATGTTTTTCTTGTGAATTGTGAGAGTTCTATTTTATTCTTTAAAATATTTCCCTTGTTTCTAACACTTTAATCTTTCTATGTCAAATTTCTTTTCAAAATGGAAATACCTTTATTTCTTGTGTGTGTGACAGTGAAAACAATGGACTATCATGGTAAAATAAAAAATCAGATACAATAGAAAATCAAAAAGAAGAAAGTAAAAATCTCCTACATTCTTACCCCTTGGACTTGTAACTAACATTTTTTGGAGTATGTCCTTCCAAACTTTTAACCTTATGTGTTAACAGTATTTTTTGAAGTTTAAAAAATTAAAATGTTTTTTGTATCCTCAAAGTAGCATTGTTTATTTCAAAATATCTTCCAATGCTTTTGTGTTTAAAAAAGCCTTTCTAATCTGGAGATCACATTAAGAATTGCCATGTTAAGAGACAGAGCTGTGTGTGTTTAGTTATTAAGGCCATATTATAGCATAATATGGAATATTTAGGAAATTAAGAGGAAAAAAATCACCAGTAATGCTTTAATTTTATACACGTCTATTTCCTTTGGGCATGGTCCTTTTGAATCTTGGAACATGAGTACTTGTATTTATTTTTAGTGGTTGCAAGGATAGTGTATGCAGTTTTTGTTCTTCCCCTTTTCATTCACAATTATAATGTAAGCTTTATTTTCATGTTGCTACATCTCTGTAATGGTTTTTTAGAATGGTCCCCCTATGGCCCCTTGGGTCGCTGTGCAAGCTAGCTGACTCAATCCTGCTGATAACCATCTAAGATTCTAATTTTTTTGTCAGGTGATATTTTGAAACACCAAAGTACAGCAAAGCAGAATCTCCCACTGTTCCCTGGGAGTCTTTCGGAATAGTTTGACTTCTGCTCATTTCCTCCTTTCTTCAGAGGACTGTTGGGAGAAATCGCTCTTAGGGAATGGTTAGAAAAATGACAATTATAAAATTAGGAAAAGAGATCATGAGGTGAAATTGAGCTTTTAGAAGAAAGTTGCTTTAGCAACTCAGTCTGCACTGTTTAGGTTTTGATTTTGTAACTCACGAATTGGTCATGAGTTTATAATAATAATTCTGACAAAATGCTTTCCATTGGTGCAGTGCTTGGTGTTTTTTCTGGGAAGCAGTTTGGTTTATCAGCTGAGGGCTTTAGGGCAGGAAAACCTGGGTTTGGAGATCCGTTTATCCCTTGTGACCTTCAGCAAGCCTCTATCTTTCTGCAAAACAGGAGTAATAATATGCCAGGAGGGAGGACTAGTTAAGATCATCTCCTATGGGTCCTGAGCAGTAATGGGAAGAACCTGCAGGAGTAATCAGAGTTCAGGGGACCTTCCAGGCAGAGGGGAGCCAGAACCTTTTATTCCTGGCTCTCAGTTTCTCCATTTGTATGAGGAGGGCGCTTGGTGTCTGGTCTACAAAGCCCTTCCTGCTGACTCCCAGGAGCCTCCCTGCCCTGATCTGTCCACCCTCCTCAGCTGGGCCCCCCCAGGAGTACTCTCTTCACTCAGCTCCACCTACAGTCCCTGAGAAACCTACCAGGGCTGTGCCCTGGCCTCCAGGACAGAGAAGGCTGTGGCATCCTTCATAGCCTCTGACATGACTTGGGGGAAGGGTGTGAGTGGGATTTATACATTTTGAAAAGCTGGTTAGCAGTAACCTTATCTTCTCTTTGAATAATGATCATCAATCACTCCCCCCCCCCCCGCCCCCGTAGGGAAGAGAAGACAGCCCACTGCATAGTGGTTGAGATCCTGGAATGCAGAATCAGAGATTTGGTTCCAGGCCTCTATATGCCTCATCTGTAAAATGGGAATGATAATAGCACCTACCTCCTAGGGCGGTGGTGGTGGCACATAGTAAGCCCTCAGTAACGTTACGTCGTTGTCATAATAATAATTATTGCCAGCACGTGGGAAGATGGAGCGCAAGGTCGGCAGGAAACTAGGAGCCAGGGACAGAGCTCTGAAGGTGTCCCAGAGGACCCTGGTGGAAACCTGTGAGTCTGCCGGCCAGGAGGAGGCGGAGCGTCCAGCGTGAGGCCAGCGCCAGCCCCAGCGCCAGCGCCAGCCCCAGCGCCAGCGCCAGCCCCAGCCCCAGCCCCAGCCCCAGCCCCGCGCGCTCGCAGCTGGGGCTCCTCGATTCCAGGGGCGCGCACCAATCTCAGCACTGAACCGCCAGTGTTTGAACGCAGCGGCCCCCAGACAGGTCTCCCCTCCCAGGAGGACCCGCCTGCCGGTCTCCGCCCCGGGGCGGTGTCACCGCGGCGTCCCGGGAGTCCCAGTGGCCGCAGCTCTCGCCCCGCGCGCACCGCCCCGCGCGCTCAGCCAAGGCCTCCCGCGCTCGCGAGGGCCCTTTAAAAGGCAGAGTCCGCGGCGGAGGGGGCGGGCGGGGGGCGCGGACCCAGCCCGAGGCCCGGCCCCTCCTCCCTGCCCCGCCCTCGGGCCGTCCCTCCGGGTCCCCGCGTCGCTCGGCCGCACGCTCGCTCGCTGGGCGCACGCTCCGCCTCAGTCGCTCGGCTCGGCCGCGGGGCGCGCGGGGTGGACGGGAGCCGGGCCCGACGCGCGGCAGGGGCAGGGGCAGGGGCAGGGGCTGGGGCTGGGCTGGGGCTGCGCTGGGGCTGGCAGATCGGCGCCCGCCGCGGGGCGAGGCCGCAGCCGCGATGGCCGAGATGGGCAGCAAGGGGGTGACGGCGGGGAAGATCGCCAGCAACGTGCAGAAGAAGCTCACGCGCGCGCAGGAGAAGGTGAGCGAGCCCGATCCCCGGCCTCGGGCGGTCCCGGCCGCCGTGCGCACCCCCGGCCCCGCGGCTGGTCCTCCCCCGGGGCCAGGCGCTGTCACCTCCGGACGGCCGCTGCCGGGGGCCTTCGGGGTGCGGAGCCTGCGGCTCGCAGCCTTCTGGGCGCCTCTCGGCCCGCGTCTTCAGCCTCCCCACCCCCAGCGGGGCAGGACCGGGCGCAGCTGTCCCCTCACCCCCCGTTCCCTGCCCGCCCCGCCCCGGCTTCGCATCTTCCCCGGCAGCCTGCAGAGAAGGGGCGGCCCACGCTCTTCTCCCCGCGCCAGGTCCGGCGACTCCCGCCGGGAGGCCGAGGGCCCCGAAGCTGGGAGGCGACGCGGCGCCCCTGGTCCCCCGGCCCGGGCGGGGCCGGCGCTGGCGGACGGAGCCTGCCCCCTGCGCCCCCGGGGCGGCCGCGCTCCGGGGGTCCCCAGGCTGCCCCTCAGCCCTCGGGTGCCACCGCGCCGGCCCCAGGCCTCTGGGCGCGTCCCCGCCCGTGTCTCCACCTCCTGTCCCCGCCGGCCGCAGCAGGGATCGGGTTTCCTTTCCGGAGAGGTGCCCGCGGCCTGGACACTCCGGCCCGGTCCCCGGGGAGCGCAGACCGCGCGCCCCTCGGGGAAGTGCCTAGTCCCAGCCGGGGCTTCGCGTTTCCGGCGGCCCGGGAGGGGGCGGCGGCTCCGGCGGTGGAGCCCCCCACCTGGGCGGGAGCTGGGCCACCCCGGGGCGCGGAGGGCGCCGTAGAAACCCGACCCCTCCGTGCCCGGAGCCCGCGGCCGCGGCCCAGGGGATGGAGCCAGGCTTCCCGGGGCACTCGGACAGCGCAGGAAATGCAGTGTGGGGGGCGGGGGGCCGCTCGGCTCCGCTTTCCATCCCAGCCACCTCTGGTTCATTGAATTGGATCACGCCAGCCGCTGACGCCACTTCCCCTGCCGACTCGGACTCTGAAATCAAGGATTGCAGAATCTGTGCTGCAGCCGGGTGGTCCCCCCAGGGCCCCCCAGCGGAGTCTGCCCTCTCTGTCGCGCGATGCTCAGCCTAGACTGGGAACCCGGGGACCGGCCACGGGACCGGCCAGCGTGCTCCTGCCCGTCTGCGGCTGTTGATAAACAATGACTTTTGCAGCTGAGACCTGCGGGCTCCCTAAGGATGCAGCCACGTGATGGGAGGGGGCAGCGACCAGAGCTCCCTCAGAGCCTCCCTAAGTGCCCAGCTGCTCATCCTTGAGTCCCAGGCTAAGGAGATGGGTGGGTGTGGTGGAGGTTAGGACCCTCCGCCAGGCTCCAGATCTGGCCTGCCCCAGCAGCTGTACACCCTCCCCACCGCCCCCACCCGCCCTGCCCCGGGCTGCAGGAGGGATTAGAGCAGCGCAGATAGCTGCCTGGGGGCTGGGAAGGCTTCGATAAGCGCCCCTGTGGGGGGGGGGGGGCGCGGCGTTGCTGCCCTCGCTTCCTCCATCCCCCCTCCGGCCCAGGACTGGGTAATCCATGTAGGTGCCTGGAGCCGGCAGCTCTGGGTTTAGCCCTGGGCTTAGCCGACTTCCTGCTCCTCAGGAGCTGAGGAAGATGAATGGGAAGCAGAAGGTTAGCTGAGTCCCTGCCCCCACTCCACTGATGTCCTTCTCCTCTCCTGCTCCCCTTTGCTCTTTGGGTATCTCCTTTGCCCTGGTTGCCTTGTCTCTGCAGTGGCCTCTTTCACTCATTTCAGGGGCTGTAGGCATGAGCTGTGTCTCCCTTTTAAGTGGCAGTGTGTCATCACTGACCCCACAGAGCTGCCACCCCTCCCTCTTCAGCTCCTGTTCCAGGGGATGGGCAGTTAGCTGACAGCTGGTCAGCCATGGACGCTGGCCTTGGTCCGGGGCTGGCCCTGCCCAAGCCTGGGCTCCAACAGACTCGGGTTGTTTAGGGGTACGGGAAGCCAGAGAGCAGGCTTCCTTCAGGACCCTGCTGCAGCCCGTTCCGGGGAAGCCTGATGCCCCAGTGCACACCAACCTCTCCCCTTTGCCCTCCTATGGTTCGGAGTCTGGTGCAGCCTGGATTGAGAGCTGCCCCTGCAGCATCTTCTGGCAGTGTTCAGGACCCCATCTAATTCCCATTGCCACTGGTCTCACGGGCACCCCTGCCCCTGTCCCCACCCTGCCTCGGCCAGATCGGTGCATCATGAGGACGATTCCAGTTGTGTTGCCACAGGAGGGCATTTCCTGACCAGGGACAAGCAGGACCCTTGGTGCAGGACCTGGATATTATCCGCATAGGTAGGGGGGCCTCGTCTCTCCTTTTCTTCTTTCCCAGTTACCTGCGTCTCCCCACAGCCCAAGTATCCACCAGGGTTCAGAGAGTGACTGTGTCAAGGAAGGCTTGCCCTCTGGTGCCTGTGGAGCCAGTTCTCTTATGTCCCCAGCCTAGCGCGTCTCTCTGTGGGTCTTGGCTGGGCAATACCCATCTCATCCTCCTCCCACCCCTGTATCCCTCTTCTGGGTGCTCCCCCTGATGGGAGGGCAGGTCTGTGTGTGTGGCCCCGGCAGGTGCAGGTGTGGAGTGACTGTTTATGGACAAACAAGTGCATTTAGGGGCTTGGCTTTGGGAGCCCTGATGCAGGCCTGGGGGTGGGCTGATTTGTGCTGCATGCTTCCCTTTTTTCCCCAAGTTCAGCAAATCCTGCCTTGGACATGTGCTGTGTGCCTGGTCTTGGGCTGAGCCCAGGGTGCAGTGGGGAGCGGGGTGTGCATGGCTCTGATTGCTGTGCAGCCTACTTTTGTAAGGTCCCATGGCCTCTGGCTGTGAGGAGGCATGAGAGTGTATTGGAAGGGTCATCAGGGTCTGAGCACTGCTTGCCTCCTAGCACCTGGCTACCTCAGAGTCCTGGGGTGCAGAGCGTGTGCCTGGAGCTGGGGCTGGGGGGGTCATGAGGTCATCTTCCTATTGCATTTGGCTCATTGGACCCTCTGTAAATGACTCTGTCCATTTTTGGGCCTCAGTAGGGTGGCTGGGCAGAGCCAATGTAGGGTGGAGCCTGGGTCAGATGACAGAGGATTAGAGGTTGGCCTGCTGGGCCCCTTGGGGGAGGGGCAGGTGGGGCAGAAGGGACAGCTGGGTGGGAGTGGAATCTGGCCTGCTGGCCCTTGCGCCTGAGGCCTACTGCTTAGGAGTCCTCACTCATGGAGCATGCGTACTTGAGGGAGGCCAAAGCTGGGCTGATGATAAGCACAAGGAAGAAGGCTGTGGCGCCGGGTGGCGGGGTGGGGGGGGGTAGTGGGGAGCGTGGAGGGTGGGAGTGTGTACTCTTTCTGACTCCCTGAGCCTGCTGGGAATGGGGAGGCCCAGCTGGGAGGGGGCAGGGCCCAGGGCTCACCAGAAGAAAGGTGCAATGGCAGTTATTTATAGGACCCTGACACATGGCCCTGATGGCACCATGCTTGTCGGGTGGTCAAGGTCTCCTAACAAAGTAGCCCTACCAGCCTCAGCTGGAGCCAGGCCTGTACAACCAATCCTTACCCTCACAGCAGCCTTAAGAGGAGCCGACCACATAGAATAGCAGGTGCCCTGGGAGTGGGGCCCATCTGGGTCTGCAGGAGGGCCTGTGAGGCTCCAGGCTCCTCTTACCTCCCTGCTTCCCCAGGCCGCAGCCAAAAGTTGGTCCTCTCCCCCTGTATTCTGCATTTCTCCTCATCCTGGTGTCCCTCTCTCTGTCCCTGGGCATATGAGGATGCTTCCTGTCCCTGTCTCTTGTCTGCACCCACATCTCACCCAATGGCACCTTTTCCTTGGCCTCTCTCTATCTCCTTGATCCGTGTCTCTTTCCTCTGAGCTTGCACATGGCTTTTGTACTCTCTACCCCCAGAGCAGCTTCTCCCTGAACCCGAGTTATTGGTAGAGATGGTTCACCTTGCCTGCTGGAGGGGAGGTTTCTGAGCCAGGCATCATCAATGGTAGGGTGTCTGTGGGGACTCAGGGGACATTTGGCTAAGGAATGTGGGCATGGAGAGGTTGGAGACATAGACTCCAGACTTCCCTGAGCTCCAGTGGGCCCTGGCTGGGCTGGGGCCCAGGGATGAGCTGAATCCCCACTCGGTAGAGTCTGCTGACTTGTGCCAGGACTCAGAATGAGGCAAAGGCTGTTTTGCCCAGGGGCCTACAGAGAAGGGTGTGCTGACTGGGTTGCATGGGGGCATGGAGGTGTTCTGGGAGGATCCATGTGAGCCAACATGTGGGGTGAGAATGAGCACAGGAGACCACCTGTTCACTTGAAGAAAAGGAACAGGCTGTGTTGGGAGTGGTAAGAGGTGGCTGAGTGGTAGCTTTGGGCCAGATTTGATCAAGTCGTGTGGGGAAATCTGTATATCTCTTGGATTCTCAAGAGAAGCCACAGTTTGGATTCTTCTCCCTTCCCCACAGATGACCCCTTCAGGAGCCTCTTTCCCATCTCCGACTTCTGGCAGCCGGCCAGGTCCCTACCCCTGGACTAGGCAGTATTTTATTTTATTTTATTTTATTTTATATTTTATTTTATTTTATTTTATTTTATTTATTTTATTTTATTTTATTTTATTTTATTTTATTTTATTTTATTTTATTTTATATTTTATTATTCATGAGAAACACAGAGGCAAAGACACAGGCAGAGAGAGAACAGGCTCCACGCGGGGAGCCTGATGTGGAATTTGATCCCAGGACCCCAGGATCACAACCTGAGCTGACGGTAGATGCTCAACCACTGAGCCACCCAGGCATCCCTGGACTACACAGTCTTGATCCAGCTTGTCCCTTGCAAGCTGTGTGACTTGGACAATGTGAAGACAATGCTTTTGCCTCTCCCTCTTGCCTTAACCCCACACCAAGTCTTGCATGGTTCTGTTTCCATCATGTTCTGGAATCCCTGGGTCCTACCCTCAGCATTAGGCCTCTTTCCCACCACAGGAGAAAAGACTACAAGGACATGTTGGAGAGATAACACACATGTTCTTGGGAGGCAGG